ATGACCTCTGAGGATGGCGTGCAGCGGTGCACAGTGTAGACTGTGCGGCTTCCTGTGTCTGTCTTAACTGCTGTTCCAATTACTTGCAGCTTTATAACGCGACTAAAAGCTCTCCTGAGTTTCCTGCTGACAAATGACTTCAACTCCATAAAGCATGGTGGGCTTGCTGCTGTAGAACTTGGTATAATATATGCTGTGATGACACAGTCTCCTCCCTCGTATTACTCACACGGTAACCACTGGCTGATTTACACTTACTGTCTATTCTGAGGAGGGGAACTACCCATTTTCAGAAGCATGCTCCATTTTTAATTGTGTAATTAAGTTGCTGACATAAGCAAGTATGCAATTTCACATTAAGGTAAGGATCCATAAGGCATGCATTTGCATAATTTAATTTTCTGCACAGAAGATATTGAAAATCAATAACATGATTCATAGCCATACCATATCATGGCCATGTCGCTGTTGGTTGGCTGTTAGAGCTTAGAGGAGTACAAAGAGTGTTAAAATGGATTGGATCTGGTGTGCTGACTCTGGATCGTTACTTGGGAATCACACACCGTTTCTATTTGCACAACTCTACTCTGTGCCAATAAAATATTAAGTTGCTTAATATACTCTGTATACATTTTTGACTGCTATTCAAATAATAATTTTAAACAATTGTTTTGTAAAAGATTATCTCGTAATTGATTCAAATACGTTTGAGAAGGGGACTTAAAATTTTATTTTCTTTCAAGTTGTACGAGTGCCAGTGATACGTGAATGCATTCTTATTTGAGGGAGAAGAGGGTACACATTGTGACATATATGAAATAAAAGGGAAAACTAAATGTAGCCAACTTTTAATGAATCATTCATCTGTTAAAACAAATCTGGTGCCAGGGTGCTAGAGGTCCTCTTTGTTTCTGAGATGCCTCTTTAAACAACTGCTTATTAGTTACCCAGGAGCTTTCTTTTCCTGCTTTATATATTCAATGCTTGCTGATAGGTGGACTGTGGTTAGATAGAGGGTCAGTGTGGCACAAGGTGAGGTTTTTGCCTGCAGTCTCTGTAAATGCACACACAGGGTCACATAGATACAAATATGTACTCGTAACATCACTGCTGCCTAGAACACAGACCCTGCCTTGCTCTGTATAGTTGATGCGTTTTCATCCTCTTACTCACTCACTCACTCAGTTAGCAAAATACAGTATTTTGAGGGAAAGACAAAGAGGGAGAGACGGAGGTGGGGAGAGGGTGAAGAGAGAAAGAAAGTTGGTAACCATATTGATTTCACTTTTATTACCAGTACATTGTTAGGATTGTTGTTTATCTGTTAGTGTTTCTAATTTACATTGAACTTTATCATGTATCTGTATGTTAAGGAAAAAAAGAACAAATATATATAAGACTTCATGTTGTCCATGGTTTCAAGCCTCCATTGGAGGCTTGGAACATACCCTCTGTGGTTAGTGGGGGACTACTGACTTTATGAACACATGTCGTTTGTTGAGTTCTGTGGTCGGGGATAGGGTGCCAATAATTCAGACATACATGTTCTCCTGATCTCCAGGGGGCTTAGAGCCCTTCATACGCCATGCAGCGTGCCATTCAGAGACATTTCTCCCCTAACATTGTACCCCAGATACTGTAGGACATTGCTGAGCCATCTTCCTGGGGGTCACCTCTTGCTAGTTAGTTGATACTCAGCAATGCCACACCTCTTATTTTTGTCCTTAGCAAACTACCTATAGGTAGGCAGGTCTGCTGGTTGGCTCAGGTCGTTATACACAGTGTGATGTATATGCACAGCTGGGGAGGTACCTGCTCTTGGGGAGTTGATGCCATGGCTTTGCAGTGTCCTGGAGAACCTTCTGATGTTCACCTCTCTGGTTGCTTGTATAGGATATATCTTTGGATGTTTCCTTTCTTGGGGCGTAGAGCCCCACAACTGATCGCCTCTGTGCAGTTTAGTTAAAAGCTGTTGGAATTACGGCCTTATTTGTAAGAACTTGGGATGTTCTTGCTTTACGCTATGAAGCTCTGTACTCGTTTGTTCTGCGTATAGAGTGGAAAATGCAGCTGCCGGTACTGAAGCTGCTCCCGTAAGAAATGGTCCTGGCAGTTTATGTCTGTCTTGCACTACTCTCATGGTCTGGGAAACAAAAAGCACTTCCTTTTCAGGAGAAAAGGGGAACTGATAGAGGAGATTGTGATTCTAGATCCCATCTTTGCTAAAGAGCATAGGAATTGATGACCTTGAAGGAAACTCCGTTCTTTACTTTTCCGCCTGGTCTGTGACCTTTCCAATGAGAGCTCTGTTCTGGCTCAGGTCAGATTTGTTCAAATTCTGAAGCTGGCATCACACAGTTGTCATTTCCACAGCAGACTGTGCCTTTCTGCTCAGCCAGTCTTTTATGGGTGTTAAGACTTGAGCTGTCAGATTACAGGTGGTAAGAGCAGGGGTTGAGAACGTCAGGGTTGCATGGGATCTTAGGTCCAACCCAGGATGAAAGTTTGTTGTTGGTCATGTCTGTCTCCAGAATATCACTCAGAGAACTTAAGAATCAGGAGGTACTGATAGCTGTATCCCACCCCAAGCCAATTAAATCTGAGGTTCAGGGATTGAGGTCCAGGGTATAGGGGATATGTGTGTATCTGTGTGTTTAAGCAGCCTTGAGTTCGGAGTCAGAGAAATTGACGATCAAGAGTTGAAGTGACTCTTTGAAGGAAAGAAGCCATCTACGTTATTTGGGGGTCCTTAGCATAAAAGCACAAAGATGAGCTTTAACCAGTAATGGGTTGGTGTAACCATAAAGCCTTGGAGCAGGCTGTGTTCAAATCAGCTATGTCCAGAGCTTATCTTTTGCCAACAGAGTTGACCTATGTTTTTTTGCCTCTTCCTGTTTGGTTCCATTTTTTTTAACATCTCTGTTGATTCCTACCTAACTTGATTCTCAGTCATCTTCAGGAAGAAAGAGGAGCCTCTCTGATTGGCTGATAGGATACCCCTGTTGCCGGGGTACCTCACTGGGGTCAGGTTGATGGTATATAGAGGCCCACTGGCTGAGAGCCGGGAGGATGGTGAGATGGGATGGCTGTCCAGTTCATGACACATGGTCCGGTGGAGAGAGTTACAATTATTACAAGAATAGAAGTTCTGCTGCAAATCTGTGTGATATTTGAGGTATACACACAGTGCTCAGTTTGGTATTCTGCCCGCAATATCTTGTGTTACCTTTATAACCATCCTTTGGGGTGGGTATTTTTAGCTCTATTTTACAGACAAGGAAAATGAGGCTCACTCACATACCTAATTAAAGCCACATTTATTATGCACATGGTCAAGACACTATTGTTCTCCCTGTCTTTCTAGAAAGAGCAAGGATTTATTTGGGAGTAATTATTTGAAGCACAGTAAACAGACACATAATAGATTCTCCTATATGCACAGAAAATAAATAGGCCTTACAAAATGAGTTATTTAGTGTGTGCTTTAGTGGAGGAAAACTGGATTAGGAGACTGAGAGATGGGAAATTTTACTTCTGATCCCTAGAAGCCAACAGTAGTCAAATTCCTGCAGCTCTGCATGGCTCATCTGCAAAATTGTAGCATGGATTGGATGATAGGTACTTGAACCTTCGCTGTATTTTAAAGATGGGTAGTAACTTAGATTATAATTTTACTTTCAGGATGAATAAGCAGACTTAAGTGACGCTAGGTTTATTTTTCAGATGTGTGTTTGGAGTTTATGAGATTCCTGTTTCCCTAATGGGCTCATCCATGTAAAATATCTATGTTCAAGCAGTACTGATCTTAAAACCAGACTTTGCAATTGAAGTGTAAGCCTAGGAACTTTATATATTTCCTAGTTTTTCTTCATGACTATCACATTGTCAACAAAGCTATTACCATCATAGTGCTATTATTATTATTATTATTACTATCCCATTACTTAATTGGCATAGAGAATGCATTGTGTTTTCCTGGTACCGTCTGTCTTCATTGTCAATTGGGTATACAGGTCCCTTTACCGTTTTTACTACTTTTTGAAAGCACAGTTGATTGTGTTTGGGTGCATTTAAATATTAACATATTTAGCTGGGGTGTGTTGTTGGAGTATGATTCCATTTTATTTTAGATTCTGGGCACCTGTGATGTTTGCCTTACACATGGGTGCATTCAGGTGTGGGCTCACTACAAAAGAAATCTGTATCCACGAAGAGAATGGGCGGAGAGGACTCGGCACACTCCAGCAGGCAGATGGGCTCTCTCCATAATGGGGAAGGTTATTTTTACTTTCACTTGCACTGGTTTCATTGTTAGTTTTCGGAAGTATATCATTAGGCACTGTTGGTTTACTGAGCATCATTGGCTGTGGAAGGTCTCTCATTTCATAACCCAACTGCTTGCGGGTGGGGGCATGTGGAAGCCTGGGTCTGGCTTTTGGCAGTCTCCAAGGCCTCAGATTGTGCTGCGTGGGGTGGAAGAGGGAAGCCTGTGTTTCTGATGTGCTGCATGTTTACCTGTGAGCTCTGGAACAAACTAGTGTGTCCGAGCCTTACTTCAGCTGTCAAGGAGAAAGAATGACCTTCACCTCTGTGAGGATCAAATGAGGCCAGAAGCCTTTATACCCTGGACAAATGCTTGTCTATATAGTTGGAATCCAAGCCGCAGATTCTTGGTCAACTAGTTGTCTGGTCTTGGACACATTAAAGTTAACTTTATTTCTTGAAGCTTCAGTGTTTATTCTGGCACCATTGTATCTACTACCTGATGGTGTTTTGCAGATCACATAAAATAATGCCTATAAAGTACTTAAGGTATCTTCGTGGGACAAAGTCAAGGTTCGCTGTAACTGTGACTGATTATCCTGTGGTTGTTTACCTGTCAAATAAGGAGGTTCTATTCAGTCATGCCTTGTGTTTGTGATTGTACTTCTACGAAGTCACCCTTCCTGCGTTAAGTGCGGTGATGACTTGGCCTCATCATGGGTCTCTCTGTCTTCCAGCATTGACTGAAGGCTACGTCGGGGACCTGCATGAGAACAGACAGGGCAGCTCTGTGCAGATCCGCAGGCGCAAGGCTTCGGGCGACCCATACTGGGCGTACTCTGGTAAGTTGGGTTGTTCATGTGAAACAGTGAGCATCCCATTAAACTAACTCGAAAGCACTTTGTTGCCTGAGTTCTCTTTGTTAAAACCTTTTGTAGTTCAACCAAAGGTTGAAATATTCAAGCCTGTTTTTCCTCCAGGTTAGAAGCACCTTAATTTATCTCTCCCACCTGTTTTGTCAATGTGTTTTTTTTTTCCCTCAATTTGCATTTATTTCTAAACTTTGCTTGTTAATGAGTTATTGTACCAAACTTGTAACTTTTCTGGTTATTCAGTGGCTACCATTCTCGAGAGCTGAAATTATAAGCCTAGTCTTGAGCTGCCTAAATATCTGCTAAATATTACATAGCATTAGATATAAAAAATACTCTATTATTTTGTAACCCAAGAAATGCAGCCTGACGTCCAAAACAAATCTTGTTCTTTGAAAAATTTTCTTAGCCTCTGCTCCATGGTATTCTGTAGTTCTTTCATTTTTATTTTCATTTTTAGCCTTTGAGCCTATGAAGTAGAGAGAGCACAATTGAAACTGTTGAATATTACATTGGAAATAATCTTTTTATATTTTAAGGGGAAAAATGAAGTTCTGCAACAATGTGAGGAACTTTCTGCCGTGTACTTCCCCGACTACCACACATACCTTGGGTAGAGATGTTGCTGTGCAAGAATATATGGAAAATGGATCAGAGCTAATTGAGGGGGAATGCTTCAGGAAGATAGGCCATTTGGAAATTGTGTTGCCACCAAATAATTCAAATTCCCTGTATTGAAATGACTTGGAGGCACAGAGTATTAGTCTTAGTAATAAATCTATGCATTAGGTAATGCTGTTGTATATAAAACGGAAGGTATCTTTTTCATAATAATGGTCTCATTTGAATCCTGAATTTCCACCTGCAAATCCAGTTAAAATTTATGTCAGTGTAAAATTTATAGGTCTGATCTTTAATTACACCTTATCTATTGGCTTTTTGCATCCTTTTGTCTATTGATAAATCTCCTGCCCCTCCAGGGAGAAGAGCCTATCTGTTTTGTTTTGCTGTGAACAGATAGTAACACTGAAGTCTTCCATCACTTCCAGTTCCTTGTGATTAGAATTATCTAATTAGAGCCTTTTTGTCACCATTTCTGATAAATGAAGGAAATTGGGAGATGAAAGTCAAAATTACATATATATTGCTTCTTGCCAAGAAACCCAAAGAAAATTTATTATTTTGTACTCTGTGGCTCTGAGATCGGTCAGGAAGAGGCATAAAGTGGCTTGCTATTTACAGTTCATCAATTTAGAATAGTAATGCTTATAGTCAGGAGATGGGAAGTTACAGCCCTTCAGCATCTCCAGTTGCAAATGGCCATGAATGGATGAGAGGCCTAAAACTTTCCCCATTACTCAGTTAAGCAAGGACTTAAACCGTGGCATCTTTGTGAAGGGGCCACTGGTCCTGAACTTTGGTGGGCTTAAGGAGTCTCCCTTTCTTATTTCTGGAATATATTGTGCCTGGCTTTGGGAGCTTCCTCAGTCAGTGGAAAGGCTAATAGTCCAAGTTTGAGATCCAGATAGTGAACTTCTTAGGATTATTAGACCATATGGTCTGTACTGTATTTCCTCACCTCTGCCATTGTAGCGTGAAAGCTGCTGTTGGCAATCCCGTACACACTGGCTACTTATGGGCTCTGGAATTTCAATTTTCTATAACTTTTGTGTACCAGGAAATGCTCTTTTTTCCCCGATCTCCTCCTTCCCCTCCAACTCCTTCTCTCTCTCTCTCTCTCTCTCTCTCTCTCTCTCTTTTTTTTTTTTTTTTTTACCATTTAGAAGTACCATTCATTCTTACTTTGCAGGTGTACAAAAACAAAAAGAGTTGGGTAGGGGTCATAGGCTATAGTGTGTCATCCCTTCTTTTGGTTCAATTTTCTCTGGAATTCGGATAAGCCAGTCAGGTTTCAGAAGACTGGGCACTGGCTTGCAAGAGCCAGTGACGTCCCTTGCTAGGTGTAAAGAAGAAAATAGAAGAAGGAGGTGGATGTAAGTGATGGTACAGGCTGATTTTGACCTTGCCTTTCCCTGGAGGTGGAATAGCCTCAGCAAAGTTTTGAGGTAGCAGTGGAGAGATTCTTTGTTCCTGTTTTTGGAAAGGACTTGCGTGGAAGGAAGATGATTGAAGGGGGGTGTGTGGCAGGCAGTGGACTGGGGAGACGGGCAGGTGTTGGCTGTTCCGGGTTATCCTGTCCGGTTGTGAGTTTGCCTTTGTGTGTGTAGAGTTGGGAAAATTGTGCTGATCCTGTTATTGTTTTTTTAAAGTTAGAGCTAAAATATATTTTGTTATCTAAGAGGCAGAAACACATACATGCACACATGGAGAGGGAAAGAGGGAGAGCGAAGATACTGAGAGAGAGAGATCCTGTCTGCTGGTTCACTCCCCAAATGACTGTAAGGCCATGGCTGGGCCAGGCTGAAGCTGGGAAGTCTGTGCCGGTCTCCTGTGTGAGCTACAGGAACCCGACCCCTTGAGCCATCATGGTAGCCTCCCAGAGTCTGTCTGAGCAGGGATCTGGGACTTGGGCCCAGGCACTCTCATAGGGAATGTTGCCATCTGATCCAGCATCTTAACCCCAGGGCAAGCGCCCGCCCCATGCTGTTTGTTACTCCTGATGGTTTTAAGTCCTGATCACAGAGCAGAGCTTTGTGAGTGTCTGAGCTGTTGTTAGCCTGTTGAGAAGATACTGTTATGTGGCAGGAGTTGCTAATTTAGGGTGGCATTTTACTTTTTATTTTGGGACTAGACATTATTTCATGTTGACTCCATCACCTTGAATAGTGCAGATACTCTGTGTTTGAAGTTTTTTTAAAATTTTACTTTTATAGGTTTATGAAACAATGTCTGTGGAATCCCTGCAACGTTTGCACAGAGGACTGTTTATCTAGGAACCTGATCTGGTTCCATTGTGATCACCTGAAGATTGGTGATCTGCCTGGCTCTTCATTTGGTCTACTGTACAAAAGGAACAATGGTATTTTAGTGCAGCCATCCATAGAAGATATGCATTGGAGCGTACTGTCAGATTAGTGTTAATAATATCAAGAGTTCTTTACATCTTCAGACTTCTTTTTCCTTATACCAACATATTAAAGAAAATAACAGAATGACCTTTTTATGTATTTCATGCAGAATTACGCTGGAAAAAAATTCAGCCGTTTCAGAGTATTTCACTGGAAACATTAAAATAACTTCTTTTCTGTGAGTTTTACTCAACAAAGATGTAGATATTTTTCTGCGTTCCTTGAGGTGATGACAGCTCATGAATTTTGGAGTTTTCCCAGAACTTCAATAATTATTACACACAGAAAAAAAATCCCACTTGTTAGGTAGGTCATCCTTGCCGGAAAGGGAAATGAAAAACAAATCTGGAACAAGTCGAGAAGGAAATTTCAAGCATTTTTTTTTTTTAAAGTTGCCTGTTTTCTCTCTTCTGCCTAGAATACTTGGAGAAAAACAGGTTGTGGTCCCACCTCCACCCTTGCTTTTTAATTCTGCTTGGTTCTCTGCATCTTAAATAATCTCTAACTCGTGTTCCTTCTGTGTAGAAATAGCTTCTATAAATCAGTTTTGGGGGGAGGAGGTAATTTCTCATTAGTAGAGGAGTCCAAAATTGAAACATGCAACGACCAGAATTCCCTGCAAGAAGTGTCTGGCATTGAGCTTGCTGAAGGTCAGACAGAATTATTCTAAGAGGCATTTCTGGGTTGGCCAGGGGATACCCAGAGTCCTTTCTAGTTGTCCTGAGGCTTGATGACTTGCTCAGCTGTAAAATGGAGATAAAAAGAATACCTAGCAGGATGGTGTGAGGATTAGAGGTAATATATTTAAGCACCTGGTGTAATTTTTGGCTTCAACCCTGGAATGCAGTAGGTGTTACCCATTCGGCTCTTAATTATATGCCACCCCACTATGCTGTTCATACAAACATCTTGTTTTATAACATCCATGTCTGGGTAGGTGTGTGTCTCATTTCCCCAGCTAAATGTAGAATCCTGAGGGCAAGGATTATAAGTTATAATTCCCTCTTTCTCCTGCTGTGTGCCCGAGTATCTCGTTTTGTGCATATTCGGTGCATATTTGTCAAGTGGGCAACTGGATAGACGCGTAAATGAACTCATGCCAGAGTCTGTGCTTAGGAGCTCACTGAGGGGGATCCTGCCACAAAATTCACATAAATTAGTGGGTGATTTGCAGAAGTCTCACCGTTGGATCCTTTTAAGTAACAAGCCCCTAGTGAACTTTAGATACAATTGCATTCCTAAAATTATGTTTTCATGCCTATTTTTAAGCATGTCTGCACAGGGTAAATCAAAATACACATGCCTGCAAAGTCCGCTTTTGTTATGAGAAGAATGGAAGGCAGTGTAGGACCTCACGGTTTAGTCTTAATGTCGTCCTGTTGTTTGCCTCGCCTCTCTTAAAGGGAACTGTTTCCCTACACATGTTCTCTTCACAGCAGGGGCCTTCTGTCTGTTGGAGCGACACCACTGAGCAGGAGTCAACCTTGAACTCATGCTCTCTGGTGCCTGCCCTGCCTTGGTGCTTAGCCTCAGCCATCTCTCCTCTTCCACAGTGTCTCCTTTTATGTTCCAATTGATTTTTCTCTTCTCTACACAGCCAAAGTAAGCTACGTACAGTTTGTAAGCAGAAGTTACTTATGCCTTCACTGCACTTGTTGTTTATGGTGGCCTCATTGTTGTCTTGAGAGAGGGGCCAGAGATGCTTCTCATAGAGTTGATTGTTGGATCCCAGACTTCGAAGAGAGGCGGGAGTTTGCCAGGGTCTGAAAAGCCCTGGAGGTGTGAACTGCTCTGGTAGTGACTGAGGACTGAGAGCATAGGACATGGGACGGGAAGTCTAAAGCATCTGGTAGCATGGAGAGGTTTCAGAGAAGCATGCAATGTGCTGGAGTTAGATAGGGCTGGCCTTATAGTATTCTTCTACCAGTGACCTGTGAGTGA